GAATTTAGGGTCTGAAATAACTGTCATGATATCCCATGCAGTGTCTTAACTATATAGAAAGAAGCTAGCAAGGAGCTGGTATATGGTACTGGTATATGCTAGAAGAAATCAATTTAATAGCACTCTACAAATAAACCTTAATAAAAACAGTTGTTCTGTTGTTATGCCACACCCCAAAAGGTGTAGAGAATTGTCAGTAGAGCAGAGAGTTTGCATAAAAGCTTTATGTGATGCTCGTTGAACTCTCTGACGAATTGCTGCAGACTTGTAAATGTTCCACAAACACTGTCAAGTACACCCTAGATCGTGAGACAGGTAAGTTTGAAAATAGGAAATGAAGTGACAGAACACCTAAACTCAATGATACTGATGTTAAGTATCTTCGTTTATGCAGCCTTCTGGACACAAGGAAGACTGCCACTGATCTCAAGCATGAGATAAATGACAGAAAAGTGTCCAGATCTGCAGTATCAAGAAGACTCAACAAGAATATAATATTTGGTTGTGTAGCAGTTAAAAACCTTTACTTTGATCTCCAGATATTGTGAAGAGACTGAAATTTGCTAAAAAGTACAAAACTGGACTGGTGATGATTGGAAAAGGTTGTTATGGATGGATGAGTCCAAGTATGAAATATTTGGTTCAAAGCATAGGTTGCACGTCTGGGGGAAGAAAGGTGAAATATACTTACCTCAATGCAAAGTACCTACCATGAAGCATGGGGGAAGCAGTGTGATGGTTTGGGGGATGTTTTTCTTATGAGGCAACAGGAGATATTTGCAATATAGATGGAATAATGGACCAGCGCAAGTACCATCAGATACTGATCTGTCAGGATATACCCAGTGGTTTGCGTATTATTGGTAAAGGATTCTACGACCAAGAAGATAATGACCCCAAACACTTGTCCAACATATGCAAAAGTTACTTAGCTAAGAAATAAGCTGCTGGAGTCATTCAAGTGATGCACTGGCCCCCATAGAGCCCCAATCTCAACCCATTTCACAGATCTGGGATTTGATAGATCAAAAACTTCACAAATCAAAAGTTACTGTTCAAAGAAAGTTTATGAGAGTGTATTAGAGACATTTGGAGTTAAATCCCAAAGGACACTGATTAAATATGTTGTAACGATGCCTGAAATACTGTCTGCAGTTATTAAAGCAAAAGTGGAACACACACAAAATATTAACTGTTTGCTGAACTCGAGCACTAATTAAAATAATTTTGATGTTTCCATTGTTCTTTGAAAGTAGCCTGAAATCTAATTTTGGGCCTTGTCCTAACACTTTGGTACAGTACTGTAGATGTACATGTAGGCTGCATTACAGGCCTAATAATAATTTGTTTATAATTACCAGCTACTTATCAATTACACTTGTATAACTAGATGGCATATGTTAGTCATAAAAATGCAATTGATATATCATAGAATATTATTTGTAATTTTTATTTTTGGGTTAAAACAATAATAATAGTACATGAATGTGCTCTAGTCTGCTCTGGCCCCACTACACCACAGTAAATACCTAGATTGTATGTTAAGATTTCACTTGATGCCTACATTGTTTTCAAAATATCAGAGGGAATTCTAATAGTCAGATAATATTATGTTTTTTTTTTAAAGCTTGTCTTTTATTCTTTATTCATTTTGCGTGAGATTTCTAACAAAGTGAGTAGTGTGAAACTCATTTTAAGTGGCTTTATAATATGCTAACTTAATCACAGGGAAGCTTAAATTAGTTTCGGATAAATATAGGTTGAAATTGTACTTGTAAAGTGCTTCTAGAAAAGTTTTGACTTGTAGCTTGAAATTGAATAAGTAAAGCTTTGAACTATCTCTCAGATAGGTGGTATTTCTATAAATACAACACCAGAAGGAAGCACTTTTCTTCTAGCAGCACAACCTGGTGGTTCATATGTAAAACTAGAATGTTCAGCCTCACTTCTAGACACTGCTGATGAAAATTTAGAGAACAGGTAATTTCTCTGATTATATATAATGATTATTCTTTAATTATATTAAGTACTTTCAACAGTCATCTTCAGGGTAAAAATGAATGTTGCTTTTCTGTAGATATTCTTTAATGTTTGTATAATAAAGAACCAATTATAATAAGAGCAAAAAATAATAATTTAGTAGATTTTCTGATTAAAGAAATAAATATTTATCTTAAGATTTTAAATGCCATGTTACTTAGGATCGATCTTCACTATGTTCGCTGCCATAACATATTGCTCTTTAACTTACATTTTGATTACAAGTGAAACATAGTTATGTTGAACTCGTAATGTGGCTTAATGTATGATTATGTAATACTGTAACCTTTCATCTGATTAAAACTTTTAACTTGAAACATTTTGCTAACAGGATGTAATTACATTAAAATGCTATCAGTTAAATTGTGTGGTTTGGGAATTTGTTATCATGTTGCATATGGTGCAAGAGCTATTAAAATCCATCTTTATCTTAAACTTGTTTAATATTCTTGAAAGATTTTTTTCAAGACATACTATATTATGAAGTATCTATCTTCTTTCCTTCGTTATAATTATCTCATTCAAGAAATATGACCATGTGATGGATGTAGACAAAATTAGTAGGCAAAGATGTGTGTGAAAACAGAAAAAAAATCTCAAGAAGTCATTTCAATCCAAAGCCCTTACTTGCAGCTCACCAGTTGGCATAAACTGTATTAAAGACCAATAAACTCTTGGCAACATGTTGATATTATTGTCAGACATAAAGGGATATCGTTAAGCAAAATGTTTTGTATTTGAGGCAATATGGGAAATGTCATGAGATGCACCTTTGTAATTCAGGTGCTGGAGAATAATGGGTGATAAAACATTTCTTAGTTGTTCAATTGTGCTCACTCCTTTAACATAAAATTAAAACAATTTTACTTCTAATACTGTAAATTAAAGAAATGAATTATCAAAAATAAAAGTTATTATGTGGCATTATATTTAGTAAGACTAATATTTTTTTAAGTCTCTTTTAAAGGCCCTAAATGTGTTTCCAGTAAGAAGAATATAACGTAATCTTATGCATCTATCTTTTTGTGATGTGATATTACACAAACCACAATTTTGTAATCATGCTTTGCTGGCTTAAGGAATTACGTAACGTAATAATCAATAACTTATTGTTTTATTCCTATAATGTTGCCTTACAAATTTAATTAACTTGAATTAATTGTCTTCAATGTTAAATTTAAAAAACTACTTGTTTATTACTACAAATTTCATTAACTTGAATTAATTGTCTTCAATGTTAAATTTAAAAACTACTTGTTTATTACTAGGCTTTAAGATATTATATGAAATAATGTCTAAGCATTGTTCTTGTACAGTTGCCTATCAAAGATATAAATGGAATTGAATACTTATAATTACTAAAACTTTTAGTATGGTGAAAAGATGGTGTAATATCATCTAGCCATAGTAAATTTTGAAAATATCTTTTAGTTTATTAAAAGTACTTCACTAAAAATATGATTTTTTGTATGTGAAAGACTTGTAATGTTTACTGAAAGACTGCCAAATTTAATGAAATTTTGTCAAATTAACCCAGCCCTTGTTGAGAGAGTTAATAAAGAGTTGAAGGTAGCTAATCTTGTTTCATAAGTTTGGAAATGTGCATTTAGACATTTAGTGAAATGATAATACAAAAGTACTCTTAATGCCACTACCTGTATAGATGTTGGGGAAACAAAAAATTGTTGCATTTTTTGTATTGCTAGCTGTTAGTTTTATTTGTGCAAATGTTAGTTTTATTGGATGCTTGCACATTTTACTTGATTACAAGGTATTTGTTAGATATTTATTACAACATTAAAATCAGTTATATCATTTAATCATATAGGAAACTTATTTTTTATTTTGTTATTGTCAGTATATTCACTAAAATGTGCATGCATAACTTATAGACTGTGATATTTATTCCATAAGAATATTAATTAAACAATGTTTAAAATATATAAATCTTGTTCAGTTCTATAGCATCAAAACTAACTCCTGAATGCCATCCTCTGGCTTCCTGTCGTACACAAAATCCAAGCATCTCTTGTGAAATAATTGGTGGAGTTTGTGGCACCCGTGACGGCCAACATGTGACATCTCTTCTATCTATTGCTACCCTTGATGGTAAAAAGAAGCATATTTTATTGCTTATTTTGAATGTGTTAAAAATGAAATGATTTTTGAGCTTTTTGTTTAAATTTGTTGTGGGAAATAATAGCAATTGAGAAACTTTATACTTGCATAATTTTTAATTTCACAGACTTCTCATATCTCAATTTGGAGATATGTAAATCAGTCTTGGGGAAACATTTAGCATTGTACCCTCTTAAATGAAACACAATTCTTCATCTGTATGATTTTATTGAATATTTTCTGTTTGTGTTTCATATTGTTGTACAGTGTAGAAATTGTTTCATATTGTTGAACAGCATAAGAATTATTAGTTCATATTGTTTAACATTAACAATTATTAGTTCATATTGTTTAACATTAACAATTATTAGTTCATATTGTTTAACATTAACAATTATTAGTTCATATTGTTTAACAGTAACAATTATTAGTACATATTGTTGAACAGTGTAAAAATTATTGTGTTTCATGTTGTTATACAGTGAAGAAATTATTGTTTCATATTGTTCATGGTTGTGAAGGGAAAAACTAGAGAAAAAAAAAATAACTTCAGTTTTCTCTATGCTTATTCATTAGGTACGCTGATGCTGGTGGACCAAGATGAAATTTTGTGGGCATTGCAGGTTGACCACCAGTTGTTTTGTCTAACTAAACTAGATATTATTGTAAGTTCTTTTTTATTTATTTTTGTTAAATTTTCAATATCAAAACCTTTTTTTTAGATCTTTCCCAAGGGATGGGTGTTCAGGTTACTCATAAATCAACTTTCGAAATTTAATTAACATAATATAGGTCTAATTCTTTTTCAACAATATCCACTGAAAAATATTCCAGGATTAATATTTTAACTTTGTATATTGATTATATAGCTTATTTCCTAAAATTTTAAAAATCTTTTTAAATTTTTCTTAGCATGTCATTATCCCTATTTTATCCAACACCCCTTGATAAAGTACGAAATTAAATGTAAATTACTCTATAAAATCGTTATTGCTCAAGCAAACCATAATTTTTATAGTCATCAATTTTGTTTGGTTACAGAGCTATTAAACAGAAAATCAGACCCCTCCAGCCACACCCACCTGTCACATTCTCTCGTTCGCAATTCGTTGATAATTCTCACTTACATCGCATTATATATTACTTATAACCAATAGAAACTCAAGGTTTTCATCTGTCAAATGACATATTGTATAACATTGTGTTTTTAACAGTATATCATCAATTTCACTCACACTACAAGATTTATTTTCGTGGGAAAATTTATGACTAACTCAGATAAATTTGTAACGGCTCTTGTCACATAGTTAGAAAGCCAGAATAGTTTTGAGAAGTAAGGCAATTTGTCTATTTTTTGCATGTTAGTAGTCTATATTCTTTGGTGCATTATTTAATTAAATAAAAATTGTTAAGTGCATTACTATAATTACTACAAGAAATCAGGCTTAAGTGTCCTCAACAATCGAGGGAAAGAAAAAGAAGATTGGGTAAGTACTTTATTTCTTGTTTTTCATATTTATTCTTTATTTATTATTATAACAATAACTAAAACCATAAAAATACGGATCTTTTTAATTTATTTAAGACTATATTAGGTAAAATAAGTAATAATAATATAATTAAAATGATTCACAAGGCATACACGCATGGGTAATGTAATTTGAGAGCATAACGTGATCTGCATGTTCCCCGAGTGATTTACAAACTTATAATGGTGTGGATAGTAGTTAGAGACAGTTCAAAGGCAATAAAACAATAAAATTTAATTATAAATAGGTGTTTAGTGTTATGAACGTAGAGCTACTTAGGATAAAAACGAATGTGTTTCATGTTACAGTTTGAAGTCATTCTAGAAAGAAAAAAGGGTAATTTTGGTTTATTTTGATTTTTTCTGGTGGTTACTAGGTCGTTCAAATTGATAGGGTAGAGAGAATAACAGATAAACTATAAAGTTTTACTGAAAAAAAACGTTTGAAATGCATTTAGGAGGTTTCAGGGATTACACAAAGGAAATTTGAAATTTTTGAGATGAAGAAAAGTATTTTTAACTTTAACATGAAAATTACTTTGCACATGGTCTATTCAGAACAAATACTTAATATATTAATGGACAAATCTTTATTTTGTTTTATTTAAAATACTTCACTAAAAATAAGATTTTTTGTATGTGAAAGACTTGTAATATTAACTGAAAGACTGCCAAATTTCGTGAATATTTGAATATATTGAGAGTTATAAGTATTAAATCTATAAAGACTTTAAACAAGTACAAAAAGTTTACATGGTCGGTCAGATTGACCGAGTCTGTATTGAGAGAGTTAAGGAGTTAATTTGCTGAAAGCCATAGATAAGTAATATGTTCAATGTGACTGATTGTTAGGTATGACTGACTTAGTGGCAGTTTATTTAGTCATAAAGGTGTTAGTGTGAATCCAAAACATAGGTTGACAGCTTAGTAACATATTCATGTGATAGTGGACCCAGTTATACAACTGTTTATTGGTACAATCATATCATACTTTATCCTGGTACAGGACTATACTCAGTGTCATGCTGTCAGAATTGTGAACTAGCTTGAATAAGAAATCATGGATTTGCCAAATAGAAGACCCAATATGAACTTTATAGAGCACCAGTGTTATCTCATTCAATACCATGTATAACATTCCCTTTAACCATCACATGTTCAGCAACTTTGACCATTTACACCTATACAGAAATGAGAGATAGCTCCTTAACATCATACACCAACTGATCATTAGTATATGCCCTGCAGATATAGAGATTAGATCAGTGCCAGATAGGGCCATATCTGTTACTGAGTAGGTCTTAAGGGTATTCAAGTTTCTTGAGTTGTAACTGGCGGAATATTATCAACAAAACTGATTCCAATATGATAACTTACCTCTTCTCACATAATAGCTTTTCTTGACAACTACATCCATGTGTCACAACTGCATTGTAGCTTGCAAGTGAGCATGTGACAACCCTTCAACAATAGGAGTGTGACACATCCTCCTTATGTAGTGACTCCTTCTATACTGTAGAACCCAATTTTTTCTTTTTGATCTGGCACACTCAAGTGCAGACGTATTTTAATTTTGCTAATTTTACTTCATTGTTTTTTTTATTTTGCCTAATTTATTTAACAAATGACTTAGTTGTTTGTACATTCTGCATCATTCCATGATAATTTGTGGATTGAATTTGTTTTATCCACTCAACTTACTTTTAGTTGAATTCTCAAAATAGTAGGATAGGGATTGTGTCTACCAGTTCTGAGCTCTTCCATTGGGGCTGGCTGGCTTCAGCTCCCTACATTTTTTTTTCATTGGATGGTCAGGGTCTTTACCCATCTTCTCTATTCCTGGGGCTTTCGTTTCCAACATTACGTGAAGGACTGACTGATTCTAGCCACTTCACATTCAGTTTGTTCTTCAAGAAGCTGCATGGGTAGGTTGGCTGATCAAGTTGAAGTCCTTCTTCTCCCCCACTCAATACATTGTTCATCTCAGGGTATTTTTCAATTCTTGTCTCAGCCAGGATAAACCTTTTCCTCTTTGTCTGCAATCTATGGAGCTTCTGGTTTTGACTGTTTCCTCTTTCCTTCTCCCATTCCATGAGAGGTGGTTCTATCTCTTTTGAAATTGATTGAGATTGAGAAAGTTCTTAATAATTTAGAGTTAAAGTTCCATTATAGTCAAAGTCCTTAAAAGTTGAATTCTTAATCTTGAATCTTTATCAATTTGTTCAAAATCTTTAGAAAAACTCTAATCCTTACATCTTGGCTAGACTTGAATCTCACACAAAAGTTAACACTACCTTTGAGAGCTACATAATTTCTCTAAAACAGAAAATTAGCCAAATCTGAAAAACAAGGAACTTGTGAAGGCAACACAAATCTCTCTCAAAAGCTGTAAAAAAAACACAAGAAAACAGTAATATATATATATATATATATATAGACACACTCTCTCTTACTTTCTAGGTGCATATGCTACCTACATGACTGAAGTCCACTCTCTGATCAACAAAGGGATTTCAAAGCCCCCAAAACATCATCTTGTTTACTATGAGAAATAATCAGTCACTATTTGCAACATGTCTTGCATGCTAAAGTAATCCTTTTTAATGAGGAACACAGTGATGTATTTCATGATGTGTATAACTGGTTTGGAACTGTAACAGTGCTGCTAATGCAGTTACTTAAGAAGCAGCCCTAGTCGCATAAGAAGGATCATTTTTTTTTATAAATAACAGAAAAGACATGCTATGTTATTTACCTGAATAATAATAATGGAGTGTGCAATATTCAAGTTTAAAAAGCATTAATTAAAATGTTAGAGGAATTGCATATGCCTTTTGTTTAGGTGTTCTTAATATCAATTAAAGTTCAGATATATATAGAAAATGATTGACGAGAACAGTATAAATATTGGTAAACATTGTACAAAATTGTGTGATATATGATAACAAATATTTTCAGATCGTATTGTAACTTAAGTAAGTTTTATAGTGAAATATTTGTAATATTTATAATGAGGTTGAGTCTAAAAACTTCCCGATGGTCTGTTTTTTGCTGTTGGGGTGATGACACTTTCAAAATGTTTTAATATTTATTAAACTTTTTGTTTAGCATTGAATGTACTGACACTGCGATTATATAAATGATGTTAACTTTGGATAAAAAAGTTTTTTAATACATTCACTCTATGTCTATTGTTAATAAACAAAACATATGAACAGTAAGAGGCAATTTTGTCCTTCAGGTCTATGCTTGCCCACCAACTCTGGAGAAAAAAAATATTTAAACCCATACTTTATTTTCCAGAAATTCACCGATTCTCCTCTTAAGCTCCTTTAAAGTGCTGGCCTCCACTACTGCTAACAACTCAGTCCATAAGTGTATCACCTTATTAGAAGAATCAAACTGTCTCAACTAGAGACAATCTTAAGCTTGTGTATTCTCATCTTATTATCTTCAGGATAAAACATAATGAAATCAAAAGCCTATATTCTATTGATTCCCTGTGTAATAATATAAACTTCAATAAGATAACCTGTTTTCCTTCTTTTCAAGAGAAAATAAGATATTTTATTTTTACAAGATAACCTTTCCATCCTTAGAGTTATCCTAAAAGGTTTCCTCTTAAGCCTTTCCAGTAAATCAATATAAGACATTTTTGAAAGTACATACCATAAAATTGGCTGCAACAATCAATAGTTTAATATTTATTAAGAAATATTTAACTATTACGACATTCAGTTTTGAAATACTTAGGAACTTGTAATGTAAATGGTAGGAAGCTCACTTTTTTGTTTTCAATGTCTGCAATATAACTCATATTTGTAATATTATACCTTAATCAAGAAATTAAGACTTGGAAATATTTTTCAATGTATTTATTCTAGAGAGATGGAAAAGAAGAAATCATTGCCTGTGCCTGGGATGGACAAACATACATAGTTAATCAAGATTGTCAATCAGTCAGATTCCATTTTGAAGAACCAGTTTGCACTTTTACAGCAGGTATGAGTATTTTGTAGAAGAATAAGATGCTTGCTTTAGATATGGGTGTGCAAAAAAGAATTATATCTGTAGGTGAATTGTGTTTGATAAACAAGTGCTAAAAACAGGATCACTGTGTACAGTTATAGCAGATACATATCTTTAGTAAAACAATTCTTAATCAAAATTATATTTCTCAACACAGATTTCTTGAAAAGTCCTTGCTGGAGAATGCATAAGTAGTAGTAAAACAAATAATATGAATTACTGAGAAGAGTATTCTTATGAAATGTTAAGCTTATTCAGACAAAAGGAAAGTACAAACCTTGAAATATTATTTGACTTTGATTTTTACAGTGTTGCTTATTCCGAAATGCACTTACCTCCTCTCACACTTTAGCTTTATCCCAACGAAGGTTTCTCTTTGCCCATCTAAGCGTTGGTATGAATTATACCTTACTTGCTCCAGTCTTTATACCCCACAATATCGGCCATAGTGATTTTAATCTCGTGACTCTCTTCATCTATGACAATGCGCCCTCTATACCAGATTAATATAAAAACTCCCCCGTTATTACTTCTTATACACTTTTTCTCGATGGCAGAAATTATGACGATAGTCTTACTTGATTACTGTGGGTTTCTCTTCAGCGTTATTACCATGTTTTTCAACACATTCATTTGGTTTCTTTTAGACCTGTTCTTGGAACGATGTTCCAGAGACTGTACAATAGGTGAACCACATTCCTGTTTTTGAAAAGCAAGCTGATACCAATTTATTCAACTGAGGGGTCAGAATGGATAGACAAAATCCCCTTTAGCTTTAATCATGATTGTCCAGTAGTGTATTTGTGTCTATCTTATAATTGTGTACCACCTAGAATGCGCACAACACCCCATCTCAACAGAGCTCATTGGTATCAGGAAAATGATTAATTGGTCGTGGGACTCCCCAATGCAACTATCCTTCCCCATTTCTCCTAGTGGAGCATGGGCTTCTTTACCACTCCTGTTTTTCAGTCGCTTGAGTGGTAGACAAGGGTTATTCCTCCTGAGTGATGCTTGCTCATTATTTCACTCAAGGAGAAGAGGGCAAAGCCAGGTGCCCTCCTATTGATAATCCTGAATGGTTTTTCCAGTTGTATGGTAAGAGAAGGACCAGCTTACATGGGAGCCTTCTAGTAATTCTGGTTCAGAGTGACCCTGCTATCTGGTTGGGTTGTGCATGGCCCCTCTTGATGGTCATTCTGTATTTCAATGATCGTGGAAGATGACCTAGACTCCTTGTAATTCTGCACGAGAAGTGTCACTTCCTGTGTCATTGGTTGAACTTTGTTTGTTCTGCATTACTCCTTGTATTTCTGGGGGCAAGAGATGTTGTCTTGCTTCTCAGGTTGGGGAGTTAGGAGTTAGGTTTGTAATCTCAGGCCAGATGATATCTGTTTTCTTCAGGTTGGGTGAGGTGTGAATGGCCCTGTAATTCTGACTTCAGTTTGTTGCATTCTGTGCTTCTTTAGGTTGGGGGAAGGGCTTGTCCATTTGGGTGATGCTTGCCTTCCTTTCATAATTCCAGTGGCTCGCATGCAACATTCTATAACTTTCAGGTTGGGTGCCTGGACCCGTAATTCTGAGTTCGGTTTGTTGCATTTTGTACTTCTTCAGGCTGGGGTGATGGTTTATCCACTTTTGTGTTGCTTGTTTTCTCTTTCTAATTTTGGTGACTCGGGTGCAATATTCTGTAACTTTCAGTTTGGTTTCCTTAATATCATATTACTATAATACAATGATATCACACTGCTGTCCACATGCCCTAGCCACTACAGCTTGGATTTAGCTTTGGGTCCACAGCTCTATAACTCCAATGACGAGACGTGGGATGTTGTCTGCTCAGTTGGGACCTGGACAACTCCTGTGAGCTTGTACAATATTTCCAGACCAGATGTGTCTGGTATTGCAGGGAGAACCAATTTTGGAATAGATGTCCCTCATTTTATGTTTCCTCTTGCAATGTTACGGTTTTGACACTGGCCATTAGTACTTTAGATTTCACATTATTCGAGTGAAGATCATACCTGTTCAGGAACTAGTGCAGACCCTGGTAGTGTGCTATACTATATCTCATTTTGCACACCTTTTTTTTCTGTGCATATGCTTTCTGTATGTATTTTGCCATTGCTGGCACCTCCACCTTGTCAGTGTAGGATTCTAGCTAAAGTGTGAGAAGACGTGTGTTTCAGAAGTTTACATTTTCCTATACCAAAAATGTATTTCCGGTAATACTTACCTCCCTCACACTATCCTGCCCATCCTCTCCGCAATGGCTGGTGTTTGGGTCTGATAATATTGCCAGTCTCAAAATAGTGAATAAGAAGTAATAGCGGGGAGATTATATACAGATCCGGTATTATAAAGACTGAAGCAAGATATAATTCATACCAATGCTAAGATGGGCTGAGACGAGAAACTTTCACTGGGGTAAAGCTAAAGTGTGAGTGGAGGTAAGTATTATTGGAAATACATTTTTGATATAGGAAAATGTAAACTTTTAACCATTGATGTGCTTTCACATTGCAATTCTATTGAAGATAATCACAATAATTTTTGGAAAGTTTTTTGAAGGTAAACTTGAAATGTCCATTCAAAATAAATGTTTTTATACCATTTTAATATGATTGATATATAAATTATTAGTGTAATATATGTTAATGTAAATGCAAAGTAATGTACAAGAAACAGTTATGCTTTACTTTCTTACGTTCTTTCATTATTAGGATATTACAGTATATCTTTAAACCAGACAGTTCCATGTTTTGTGTATGCAACATTCAGTAACAGATTGTATCTGTATCATGGTGTTCAGTTGCCTGCTATAAGAACCACAAATTTATTTGAAGTTATGAAACAAGATCCTGAACAAGAAACAATGTTAAACTTACTTGATATTGACAGTAAGTGCTCTGATGTTTTTACAACTTTTTAAGCATACTTGAATTAAAAAAATTCTAATATTTATTGTTTTTCGATACTTATTTCAAGCAAACTGTGTGAAAAAGTAAATGTTGTACAAAGATATTATTGAATTGTTTGGCCTGAACAAGAACAGTTTATCTGGGCTTTACTACCAAATGTGATTTTGTTTATAACACTCGTAATAAGAATAACATGTCCTGAAAACTCAGTAAAATCTATTTCAGTTTCATAAATACATACGAGGTTGTGTATGTATTGTTTTTTTTTAAACCCACTCAGGATTATCAACTCTTTTGTTTATGTTAAATGGCATGCATGTTATTCAAATATGCTAATAAATGCACATATGTTAAATATACAACTGTATAGTTTTACTTGTACTAGTTTAATTTTAATTGTCATCAAAGATAAAAGAAATTTAATTTTTCCTGACTTTTAAACTACTGTTTTGAATAGTTCAGCCTGGGATTATCTCTATGCTGTCATTCAAACTATGAAGAAAACAATTGATATTTTTATATGGGCTTAGTATGTAATTCATTTTATGTTAAGGGTATTGAAAACTAGTGTTTTGAATAGTTCAGCCTGGGATTATCTCTATGCTGTCATTCAAACTATGAAGAAAACAATTGATATTTTTATATGGGCTTAGTATGTAATTCATTTTATGTTAAGGGTATTGAAAATAGATTTTACATCTTCAAAATAACTTTAGTACATATCAAGTTATTTTAGTTATTTGACACATATTTGTAAATTGTCTGAAAATATATTTATCTAACTAGCACTGTATATGATAGTGATCTTAAAGTTTGTATCTTCATTAACTTAGCTTAACATGCGAACAATATCTACTAATAACTGGTTTATCTGAATGCCAAACCTGTGGTTTGATTAGAGCTTATCTCAATCATGTTCAAATAAAATAAACCTTACCAAAAGTTGAAACTGAATTTATAAAACAAAATTAAAAATTACTGAACACTTTGTATTAATCGTGTAATTCCTTCAGTAGAGATATTTATATATACACACATAAATACAGCCTGCCAGTAAGTAGATACCCCAAAAATACAAATTGGCTATCTCCATATTTTCATATGCAAATAATCCTGATGTTTAGATACAGGTATAGCTTTGTAGGAATCACAGAATACAAATAGTCATGTCACAAACGGAAGGATTCCAAGAGTTATTTGTTTTTAAATGTTCACAAGGTTGAATGATGGGAGGATGTTCAAAGTCAGCGAAGAATTGCCAGATCTTTTAATTCTCTTCCTATCCATAGTTAATAGGGTGAAAATATAGTCTAGTAAGTTCACAAAACAACAATTTCTGTATGGCCCAGGCATCCAAAACCAATAGAATGGACTTGTTATGCTGTGAAGGAGGTTACCCACATCAAATGGCTGCTACTGTTGCAAGATAGGTGCAAATACACTGCAATACCATCAGAAGTTGTCTTTGTATGATGGGCTGTAGTAGTAGAGTGGGTAAATAGTGGGCATCGTGGATGCCATAACACCCTCTTACTTTTTGAGTCTGTAATTTTCTTTAATGGGTCCAAACTTGTACAATTCTTGGTGAGTAATGCATCTGGATTTGGAATCTATCCTCGAGGAACCTTCGTTGAACCATCTTCAACCTACAACAAAATACAACCGTATTTCTGTCATGGTTTAGGTGCCATTTTGGCCACTTGATAATCAGAACTTTTGGTATCTGAAGGGAGGGTCACAGCTGTTTGATGCATCAAAATTCTCAATCAAGACATTATGCCTATCTACACCAATGACCAGTTTACCAGACAAAGCAATTTTTATGCAAGTTGGAACTTATATACATCAGCTTCAGGCACAAAACTATGACTTGAAGGTCAGGATATTATCACTGTCTTATGGCCAGGCAAATTACTGGATATGAATACTATCAAGCACGTGTAGTATCTTTGACCTTCCCCTTTGAAAAAATCACAAACAAATAACTTTTAGAGCACAATCTTCCGAGTCCTTTGCCAGGACTGGGGTGCAATCACACTGGTCCAGATTTCAAATCTTGTAAATCTGATGTTTAACTATGTTTCTGATTTAAACATTGCAAAGAGTAGATACATCAAATATCAGTGGTAACTTTTTACCATTTGTGTTAAGAGTGGTATCTATATACATATTTGTAGGCTGTGTTTGCTTGAAACATTTTTTCTTACACTTAAAATTTCTTTGTGGTATAAGTTAATGCCTTTCAAATATAACGAGCATTCATTCTTCTGCTCGTTAGACATATAAAAAAGCTTATTCATAAATTACAAGTTTTTATCAAGTTAGCTTTTATTTTTTTAGAAATTAATGATAATTCTAATTAAGTTAGGTAAAGTTTGTTTGTTTTAATTATGCACAAAGCTACACAAGGGCTATCTGTGCTCTGCCCACCACGGGTATCAAAATCCAGTTTCTAGCATTGTAAGTCCGCAGACATACCGCTGTGCCACTGGAGGTCAACTTATGCAGCATAATTTATTTGTTTATTGAATGAAAAGCAGTTTTATTTCTGGACTTTTTCTGTTTTCATATGAATGCTAATAAGTGCAAGTCTTTGCTGTTGAAATATATTTTAGTTAGACTTTATGCTTGTAAATTATAACATTATTGGTGCTTAAAAGATTTCATTTTTATATCAGATATTTTTAATTTAATTAAATTGAGTTAATAATATATTAAAGTACTTTTGCAAATAAATTACCACTAATAACAAGAAAATACATTATTTTACATTCAACAATATTTGCTTTTGAATATTAATTATTGTTTTAAGCTATATTTTTAATGTTGTAATTTGTTTCTTTGCTTTAATAGTTATTGCCTAGAAAGCTCTAAAAATATTGATGTCAGATTTTCTAGTAAATTCAAATGTAGATTATGAATATGAGGTTGCAATGAATAATAAAGAAAATAGAGAATTATTTTAGCCAATAAAGTAAAACAGTCGGTTGTTTTCATTGCAGTCTGAGGTTCCATTTTTATTGAAATATTTAGATCCGTTTTAACTATCATGCACACTGAGTTATTTTGTACAAGCAAGTTTATTTTCATGCTAGTTAATACAGTTAGTTCTGTAAACATGGCACATAAGTTAACACTGTTCTAGCTTGTAATTTATTATTGTTACATGGACTGTTATAGTGTTATAATGTGATATTGAAAGTTGAGATGGTGAATGATTTTAACTTACCAAACTCACATTCGTAAAACTAATTACCGAAGTTATATGGTGTTGTATTGTAATGGTATGCAAGTTCAAAAGTAAAGAGGAACAAAAAATTTGTATTTTGCCTAGACTTACCTGCTATTTCTTTGGTTTTTGTTGAGGATTATATGTTATATATATAGAAGAAAACTATGAGCTGCTATTTTTTGGGGCTAAGTTTTAAGTCAGATATATATATTGACTAACTAGAATTATTAGCTTATTTGTACGTTTTTTTTTATAAACATACACTACAAATCGGTTGTGTTGACAGTATTAATAATTCCATGATCTTATTAGTCAATTTTTAAATAGCCAGTTTCATAATAGCGATGAGAGTCTTTTTTTTTACTCTTCTGGAAATTTCTGTAATGTTACTGTAATGATCAAAGGAAAATAAACGTTTATGTTACATAACAATTATAATATTTAAAATTTGTGTCTAAACTATTTTTTTTCAGCCATTGTTTTTATTTACATTATATATCATTTACAGCAATGTTTTTAATTAATGCAGTGTTTGTATTCAAATAGTTAAATTTAATTCCATTGTGAAGTCAAATATGGATCTCCACTTATCCCTTATTATGTTGTTGCAGAAACCAATATTTCTTCTCAGCAAGCATTGTATCATTGGTGTCTGTATGGTGAACCTACAGAGTTAAACACTGAAGTGAAGGAAGAAGGAAACATTACCTGAAGAGAGATCATTAGCATTATTATGATAGGATTAGTTTTTTATCCTATGTTTTTCAGATACATGTTGAAACTGTTATTTTGTGATTATGTATCTTAAGGTATACTAGTGTCAATATACAACATTTTGATTTCTTTCATTTCAACTGATTTAATAAAGCAGAGTAAATCGTTTAAAAATAAAGAAATGTATATAGAGATTGAAGAACTTGTGCTTCTTTTTTCCTACATTATATTTTAAACTCCACAGTCACAAACTACATTAGTGTTCTATATTGTGGGTAAATACACCATAATCTAAATATATAACAAAACCATATATTTTGCGACATAACCTGACTGGCACTGTAAATGACAGCCCGTGTTGACACCAAAACACATTATAAGGTAGTAAGTATCATTTACATCTTAGTTAATTCCAAACGTCTAAAATTTGAGGGTTAAGTAGGGAGGGTTTATTAAATTTTAATAATCATTACATGAGAGTACTTTCATGTTCGTAGTGTGTTTGTTTGTGTGTGTAAATATTTATATACAAGATGGGGGGGGGGGACAACGTTACATATCGTGCAACAATTAACCGTATGATGAACAGAAAGAAAGTACAACAGATGGCGCTCTATACAGATTTGAATAATTATGTAGTTCCGATTCGTTTGATTATTAGCGCAAAGCTACATTGTAAGTTGTCTGCGCTATATTCACCGCTGAGGAAAGAGCCCCGAATTTTAGCGTTGTAGCTCCATAAACTTATCGCAGACCAAAACAAGGATTTAAATAATTATATCTGAACACCGAACTTGGTCCGCGGGTTAATGGAAATCGGTCCTGTGGAGCGACGAGTCACGCTACACGCTCTTTTACTCTGATGGACGTGTTGGTATGGAGGATGCCTGGAGAACGCTTATTACCTGAGTGTGTTGTCCCAACAGTGAAGTCTGGGGGTGCCGATATCATGGTCTGGGGGTGCTTCGTATGGTATGGACTAGTTCCACTGGTTGCAATGCTTGGATCCATGAATGCTGAGTCCCACATAATGTGCTGAGCAATTCTGTGTGTCCTACATCGTGGCAATTTTATTATACCGGTCCTTACACCTTCCAACATGATAACGCTCTATGTCTCAAAGCAAGGATTGTGAACACGTGGTTTGATGAGGATAGCA